TTTGGGGAAATCACAAATCAAGGAAGGTGAGAACTTCGGGAAAATTTAAAAATAAATAAATTAATAAATAATCTTTCAAGCAGCTTTTCTAACTGATAAATATATACTTAAGAAAACTAAAGAGACAGACTGCCAGTTGGGCGCTTTCATCTCATAGCCACGGATCACAAAGACTGGGTGGCAGCCGGGCTGGCTGCCTTTACACCTCAAGAACGTGTCACTGAGAACAGAAGTATAGTCTCAACATGTTACAGTTATGTAAGTCTCAAGGAACTACCTCTAAATTGAAAGCAGAGAGATTTTTACTAGGGAAACAAATGACATATCACTAATAATGTTGCAGTAACAACAACTGTTAGCAGAAATACACTATAGTTAGGTAACAATTAAAAACCTCCTCCCCCCCCCCCCCCCTCCCAAAAAAAAACAAACCAGAAAAAAACCCTTTAAGGCCCCTTTCCCTTTACCTGTTCTTCTCCTCAAGTTCTTTATTAGCTTTCCTTTTGAACTTGGGCAACAATTGTTGAAGAAGATCCTTTACCGCATCTCGCTCCTTCACTGCTGTGCTTTCATTGGAGAAGTGAAAGTTGGTTGTGTCCCCTGCATGCAATACTAGCTGAAGCTGAATTTTAGCTTTACCTTCTGGACTGATTTTCTGACCTAGATTACACAGAGAGTATTAATTAGCAACAGACGGTAAGCTTATACAAGAAACTCTCTTCCCTAGAGTATTTGCTTATAAGCAGTTATCCTCATCATCCAATTAAGTACCATTATCCTGTGTGTGAATTCCAGCCATGAAGTGGAACAGACAGTCTTCCCCTTAAATTAGTTTGAACCCTGCACCTTGCTCTCTCTAAAAGAAGACACGGACACCAGTAGCCGATTGCTCACTATCCTTCAGCTACTGCTCAGAAGCCCTGATTCATCTTTTGCATTCCCCACATCCTCCATTAGAAAACTGCTACAAATTAGACTGCCATCACCTTTAACTTGGTACCAATCCAGGCTGCTGCTGAAAGGTGACAACCTCCTTCCCCCTTTCCACTTCTTCCTGCTGCCTTGCCTGTACCAGTGTTAGCATTTGTGCAGCAAGCTGAACCAAGGAACTGATCCACTGAAAAGTAACCCCCCTTTTGTTTTTCCAGCTGGACCAGTTCCCACAGAAGAAAAGTGGTAAGAAAGCAGATGCAGGGTGGGGTAACAGCACATCTCCTGACAGCAAAGGTATGCTGGTTTCAAGTGGTGTGGTAAGGACATTTAGCCGTTAATACTCTCAATCACCAATGCCTTCAAGGTGCTATTACACCCTCATGACTCATAAGAAAAACCCAACTCCTGCTTCCTTTCTCGTAACCAGAGGGAGCAGAGGCCAGAACAACTACATTTATGAACTGTTGTGCTATACTGACTTCAGTGTAGCGCTGCAAATGGCACTAACCTAACTCTGAATCTTACCCCTTTCTCCAGTGCACGTGGGAGACAGGAACCAGATGTCACCACTAAATATCATCTCTATTACAAATTTATAAATACCCTCCCCTTTTTTTTATCTTAGATGACAAAAAAGAGCATCTTTCATCTAAGTTAAAAAGACTTCCATGCCTACACGTGTAACTATTTAAAATAGAAGCTGCTTAAGTGTAAGCAAATAGCTAAAACGTTCACGAAGTTGATAATTATACGTGAACAGAGCTTTTAAACTCCTTATCACATTTGTATTTAAGAAATCAGCGTATTAGTTCTGATTCATCACACATACTTTTGATCATGCTGCAGTACTTATATGTGACTTTCAACAGCAATGATCACTAAACCTTTACCAAGTGACACATACAACTTTCTTGTTATTCCTTCTTTGGCATTACAACACATGGAATACGAGCACTAACTGGAGCCAGAAAGGCAGCATGCTACAGACATTTACTATTCAGTTTTGACTTGCAAGTACTCTGCTATTGCAACAGCAAACACTTACTCGGAATGTTACCAGTTAGGCCAAACTACAGAAGCTAGCACTTCTGAACCTATGGTCTGTTGGATGAAAATAAACCAGCGAGATTCATTTTTTATATGGAAATTGAAACAGCTTCAGATGCATAGTTTAACAGATGACATGCCAGATAGTTTCTGTGTTAGACCCTGAAAATCCTGTACTCTTCCTCAACCTTCCTCCCACCCTTCCCTCCACAAGCATATGGCATAGATTATTTTTCTGTTCAATTTACTGCAGAAGTTCATCAAAGGTTAATAGTAAATGCAGTATAACTTAAACATCTGAAGGCTACAGAAGTTCTGCAGTAGCATCCTCAATAAACTTCACCATGGTCCTGATCCCTGCTGTTCCACAGAATAACCTAGTCAAAGCTCCAGATCCTTGCAACCTTCCTAACTTACCTACTAGTGTTTTATGCCAAATAAGTTTTGGGTTGTATTTAAGTGTTTATTGAACTACCGCTTGTTGAAGGTGGAATAGGAAGAGTGTTCACTTACATTTTATGTCTGCATACATATGGCTGACTGTGAATCGGTCCTTGCCTTCAGGTGCCCATGCTATCCTTTCAGCCATAAGGTAGAGAGCTCCATCCTGCTTCTTCTGACGTACCTTCTTTACAATCAGTAACACTTCTTCAGATGACGTTGCCATTGTGGCTGTAAGGAGCTATTAAAAACATACCGTTGAGCTGATTAGTATAATTATTTTTGCTGTAACTCTTTCACTACTCCTATCTATATCAAAGTATTACAACACACATTTACTTGTTAATGCCTACATCATTTTTGAAACGTTCCAGATAAACATGCTCCCCTCTGTCAGTGCAATCAGCAAATTTATTTAAACAAAATACTGCCAGCTACCTAAATAATTAATCTAATTATCTTGCTGATACTGTTTTTGCTCCAGTAAGAGACCTACAAATCTTACATTTAAACTGATAACCAGATTTTCCTGTTTTAATGTTTCTTTACTGGTTTTTAAAGTTCAGAAGAATACTGAAGCTAAGCAATGACACAAATTCCCAATCTCCTCTGGTATTTGGCAGCAGTTCCCTTCTTCAGTGTGAATGGCAGATGTTAAGTCATTTCAGAAAAGGGAAGGATACAAGGTATATGAAAAATCCCTGATTTTCGGTTCTCTGTACTAAAGATAAGGTAGCCCAGTTACACTCCTGTTCTTATGGTGCTGGTTTTTGCCCAAGGCTGGAACTACATTTTGTACACTTGATTCCAGCTGGCCAGTTTCCTACCCCTCTCCCCCAAAGTTTGAGGGACTAATGTTAAACCTTCTTCAACACAATGGTAATTTTGTCACCAGTCTCACATCAACAAGCCTTTTGATACTTGCTGCATTCTTCTTGCCAGCAGTCACGATCATTCCTCTCTACAGGTTCACCCTACAGCCTTAAATTTCTCAAGAGATTAAGGACACTGCAAGTATGACTACATTCTATTAACATACTGTGGTACACCTATCCAAAAATTACATCATTGGTATGTCTGCTGTAAATGTTTAGTCTGTCCAATTGCTGTATTTTGTACATCATAAACTTTACTATTGAAATGTAAAATAGTATTTTCAAATGTTGATACGCATGTTTCATGTGCTTTAGAATACCTAAAATATTTGCTGGAGCCTGCATCAAACTTCAAATAGCAACCTGCATCAGCTATCGCACTACTAGTAGCTATCACAAAATTATAATTCTAAGCATTTAAATTCACTTTTTTTTTCCTTTAAAAAAACAGCAGCAAGAGAGGATATTTTCCTCTGATAGCATGGACAGTAGCATGGCATTCTCTTCAGCAAAAGTCTTACAAGCCTATCTCCGAAATGAATTAAGTAAAATACTAAATGGAAAGACTGACTGGCAAAAGGGCTCTGCACTTAAGCTTCATTCCTTCATCATTTCAGTCATCCAAAGCTTTGCCAAAGACTTCAGTGATGCTGAGCTGAATGCGGGGTTTCACATCAGCACCAGTGCAGCAGTCACCAGAACACGCTGTGCCACATTCAGAGCAGCCCTGCTAATACTTCTCCCTCAAAGAAAACTGCGTGGTGTGATTTCAGGACCGTTTCCCAGCATAATCCATTACAGTCTCCCCAGCAGCACTATTCTCTTTCAGTGCTATTTGTACTACCATTTTATGTAGAGTTTCCTGCTGCAGGTCGGTACTCTCTCATCAGCACCTTATCCTTACCGGAAAAAGGCAGCTGGCCACAGACTCTAACAGACTAGAAACCTCAACATAGGCGAGACTAAGGATTTTTACTTTCTTCTCCCTTTGTTACTTTACAGTCCTTTAAGGTCATTATTATCCAATGCAGTAGAGACAAAGCCACAGAATGCGAAGGAATTAAACTTGTACTGAACAGAAAGAAAAAGGAAAGCATTTCCATAGTCAGGCTCATTCTGATGCAAGTTGCCTTGCTTTTCTACCATGCTATTTCACCCACCTACAACCAGTCTTTTGACTACAGAAGAAAACGATCAGCAGCTAGCAACTTCTCCTTTACAACCACGGCGCTTCTAGCACAGTACCCTGCAGTGTGCAATCTGTGAATGCACAATTATCCCACAAGTGGCTCATTCTACCTTCTGGGAGGGTGAACACACTAGCTCGCTGCTGTTCTTATTTATGTCATTGCTGTGCTTCCTTTTTCATGCAGTAATTTATGGTGGCAGTAGGATGATACAACTCACCAGCACAGTAAGCATTACCCAAAATGGAGAAAACCCTGAGCTGTCTTTTGAACAGTACATCAGAAAGAATAAAAAAATATTAATGATCAGGATTTAGGAAAGTTACCGTCTTTCATTAATGAAAACAAGATGGCTTCTTGTTACAAGAAGTACAGGAAAAATTCTAAAATAGAAATCTCGCCTGGCTGCTAGAAAAGCATGAGGATGGTCTCCTACCGACTGCAGAGGGGGAAGCTATGTCCTCGTTAAGCGCACACAGTACCCCGATCATTTTCTTTTCTTTTTGGACACTTAAGGCTTACTGTGCAGAAGGGTGAGAGCCATCAATGATCCATTCACACCTGCCCAAATCTCAGAACCTCTATATTTAACAACTGAAGTTACCAAGAATCAGTACTGCGGATGATGACGCTACTGCTCAAAGGGGTGAGAACTGCAACATGCATACAGAGAAATTCTATTATTTTACAGCGTTAAGTGATAATTTTAATCCGCGGCTACAAGCAGCAGCATTAAAGTTCTTCAGCTGCAAATTTTGGAAGACAGACCTTTCTCTGGTGTTAAGTATCTTCCAGAATAGGAAGGTCAGACACAGGTTATTTTAAATTCTCCAGCAGTAGAGCTTTTGAAGTGATGGTTAAGAGCTCTGAAAAGCACTTGGATCAGTCAGTAGCCCTAACCCGTGGGGCATGACTTGTCATCAAGCCTGTCTTGAGGATGTTAATTTCGGCTGCAGTTTACAACTGGCAAGGTCTATCAGGAAGCTTCAGTGCTGGCATGAAACAAAAAAAAAAAAAAAAAGGTCCTGTTTGCTTATCTACCTATAACCCCTCCCCTCCTAGCTCTGTGGGAGTGACTGCAGCTTCTGGAAATACTGTCAAATTCCAACGGCTATTCTTCCTCTAACACAGTGACTCTTCCTAACCACTTTTAAAACGAGGTACCTCTCTTCCCTGTTCCTTACCACACCTGTTCTGAACACTCTCCACTACCAGCATTTCACTCCAGTCTCTTCCCATGTGGTTCTGTTGAGTTCTGAGCAGAAATAAAGGAAACCTTTACGCATTTGAATAATCCTGACTTGATCAGGGTAGGCATGGGCTGGCAGGCGAGCTCTGACAGATTTGATGCAGGCCTCGCTGCTAGGTTTCCACTCCCCACAGGGAACAGCAGAATATCTACGCTAACGGCCCAGACGGAACGGCAGTGGCAGGGGTATGCAGCTGGGCCCCAGTGGTTTGGCCGCACAGCCCAGGGACCTCTGGGTGGGGCCAGGAGCTGGCAGAGCAGCACCCCGAGGGGCAGCAGCAGACCCGGCAGAGGAGTACAGCTCGGCAGAATGGGGAAGGGATCTGCAGTTTGCACCCCTGAGCCCGCCCGAGGGGTCGATCCGGCCTTCCTTCCTCTGCCATTCGCATCACCTATGCCTCGTGTAGCGCTTCTG